CCGAAAATGCAGAAGCATATCATTCCTCTCCCTGTACAAAAAAAAAAGGCCATTCTTCTTGGAAGTCAGACTGAGACTGTGTTCAAAAAGTAAAGGCAATTATCTTGAAAATACCTTTATGTCGTTCCGTGTTTATTAACTCAAAGATAAATAAAAATATTATAGTGAGACGTGGCTCTCCCGCTCACGGCTTCGCCTAATGCAGTTACTCATAATAAGGCTTTGTATGAGAAGTGATCCGATCCGAACCATTTTCAATGGTGTTCGTCTTTGGCTCAAAACACGTTGGTGTAATTTGAACACACAAAGAAAAAAAAACGATACGGACAGAGGGATGGACAGACAGACAGGCCTTGGATCGTTTCAAAAAATGATTGAATCGATCGGTACAAGACAAGGCGGATCTCGGTCAAGTCGTTTTGGACGTTGGATTGGATTTCACCCAATTTCCAACAGAAACCTCAGCTCAAGTTTACTTACAGCAGATAGATGAACACATTCGTAATGAAATAATTAATTTGTTTATTTATTTATCCATTTTTCAATTCAACTACCTGAATATCATCTAGGTGAGACAATTAGACTGTTTGTTAACAATTACCAAGGACAATTGTTCTTGTAATACAAGACCGCAAGGCTTAACTAAAAGCAATTGTAACTATGTCTTCTATATACTCATGTTTCAATAGCATGTAATTGAAAATTCTAGAGCAGCATCTTTTATCTTTAGACCAGGTTTTAAAACTTCGCTAAAGCAACGCTTACTAGTAGTCATGCTAAATCTCTATTTATTGATTGATGTCATCTAGGTATGGCATTGGTAGTGCGCGAGCCTTAAGAAATGATTTTATCGTAAGCATTGAGTCTGACGTGTCCACTAGGTTGTGAACGTTGTTCAAATTGTTGCTAAGGATTCTAAGTGCGGAAGATAATGCGAAATAGCTTCATCAACAGATAGCTTCCACAGGATCGAACAGGGATTTCACTCAACAAGGCTTTCGAATCAATAACTCCCCTTAATCAATTTTACCAAGAATGAGACCCCAAGGATAAATCAACATTTTTCTGCAGAGAATAATCGTATGAGTGGTAATCTCTCTACATGTGATGGTAAGATTACTAGAAGGCCCCACGGCCAGTTCTTTAAGGGGAAAAGCAAGAATTTTTCTGAATCGATCCGATTGCGCCAACATCATCCAAGCATTTGTAGGACGGATACCATACCTCCGCAGCATATTCCCATGTTGGCGAAGCTAACGTCATGTACAATCTTTTTGTAATATATGGCTTTTCGAATTCACGAGCCTAGAGCTTAATGAATCTCAATGTGGATCTTGCTTCATAGACAACGGATAAAATATGTCGATTAAAACTTACTTTTCTGTCAAAAAGCGCTTCTAAACGACGAAAGTTAAAATTTGCTTCAAGCTTTCCTGAGTTGAGAAGACTCTGGCCTGATTTGGGCGGCAACAAGATTTAGATCGATCTAGAATATGACATTAATCATAATAAATAATAGATTTCCTTAGGGGAAATTCTCTTTGCTGCTTCTTTGCTTTCATTTAATTGCGAATGGAAACTCGTTCTGAATGACAATTTTTGGTGTCTGTTGTTATGACAAAAGATTTGGAAGTTTTCTCTAATTTTTGCATACGTATTAAGCCTTTGTTATTTTTGCTGTTAACATTTTTAGAGTCATTAACGTCAACACATTATTATTCTTATCACTAACGGTAACATTGAAGCGACAAACTGTACAGACAGTGTACGTGTATGGTTAGTAAAATGAGACAAAAAAACACTTGTGAAAAATTTCTATTCATCTTTGAACGAATCTCGGAAACCTGTCAACGTAATTCTAAATAATTTCCCAGTCAAAGTAAGTTGATAGCAGCATATGCACTGAAGAATCACTTCTCATGAGAGTTCGTTTCTTGCGTCTTTTTCATTAATGTTAACGGACGATATGCAAACATTGCATCGCCAAAGCATTTTCTCGAAACCTTTGTAAACCCCAGGCGGACGCTTCAGAACGCTGTAAACTACATATATATATATATGTTTTATAAGGTATGGCTGTCCGTCTATCTGGGTAATGTCTGTTCTCCTGCTCGCAAAAATGAGGAAATCGGCTTTAAATTTGGCACAAGGAGTGCTATTGCATTTGAGCCAAATTGCTCAAAGGATACGACCAGAGAAGAAACAAAAGTTCGTTTTTTTTGCTCCTTACTTATAAATAACTACAAGCACAACGATGACAAACTACATTTATATTTTAGAAGTGATCCTGCGGCTCCTGTCCTGATATGGGAGACATTGACCACCACTACTCCTACCTCTATCAGAACGTAAGTAGCATTCATTAGCAAGATTTAGAAATCATACAAAGTCTACACAGTAGTGATCATTACTAAGCGGTGATGGGTACAAAAAAAGACCCTATCGCAAGCCGAATATTATTTTCCTACTTGTCCTGTTAGAGTATCTCCAGCTTGCAAGGAGAGCTACACTACTAGTCTTTCATGCTCCTAAAATTTCAAACAACAGATAGTTAAGTAAAATGCACTTTTTTTAACTAAGGCACTCATGTACTCCTTTAGGCCATGAGTGGAGCAAACGGAAGGAGAACTTGTGTATGCCGTTTGCCGATAGTGGCAAGAGTAAAAGCAGGATAATAACTGCGGTGTAAGTGTCATCAACAAACGCATATGCGCAAGTGTTGCGAGCATTGTTGTTACTATTGTTGCTACTATTTTTACTTTTTTCCTGTTTTTTGTTTTTGGTAGTCTGGTCTGCATAAGAAATTAAAAATTAATTAAAAAATAATTAAAAACACCATATAAATTTAATTGTGGTTTTTATCGACATTTTCAAAAGTAGATGCAATGCCTGGCCTGAGATGCATGATGGCGGTTCTCAAGTGCCATCACATACTGTTTTTTTTTTTTTTTTTTTTTTTGTTCCGCGAACAGCATGCATGAACATTAAAAATTATTTACATAAATGAACATTTATTTTTAAGTGCTTGGCAGTGTACACGTACGTATGTGCTGCAAGAGACGACGAATGAAACAATAAATAATATAACAACAATAATGAAAAAATAAAAACAAATTGAAAATAAATAAAAATTAAATGTAAATAAATGGCTAATGAAACGCAATACTTGCCTCTAATTGAAATTGTAATTATGCTTAATTAATATTTATGCGCATATAATGATTAAATGATAACAATAACAACAATATCACAATATAGTAGCGCTATTATAATAAATGTATATAACCATATCCACCTAACACCGTACAAAGGTGTTGATAATAATTGACACAAAGCAATATGAGATTAAAATAAAAAAAAAAGGACAACAATTAAAAATCAATTAATTTTTATAAGTAAGCACCAATACGCACCTCTCATCATACGCTTACGCTTACACACCAACACAAACGCACATTCACACACAAAGATACGAATTATTTTTATACCCATCACCGAAGGATGAGACGTACACACATTTCGTCAAAACGTTTGCAACGCCGAGAAGTTACCTTCACAGACCCCACAAAGCATACATATCTATATAAATTCTTGATTAGCATCAAATTTTGAATTTATCTACAAATGTCCGTCTGTCAAATGCAAAAATGAAGCTAATGATTTCAAATATGGCTGAAATAATGAAAGTTGTTGCACGCTGGTTGGACTTGAAAATGGGCCGAATCAGTCAAAGCATACTCCTTCAATACATCGTTGATTGAGAACGTCTCTGCTTCTCAAAAGGAATAAATGGATCGGTTTTCACTCATTAGTCATAAGCGGCAGCAGATAAGTGTACCAAAATTTGAACATGTATTCCATGGATGGTGGTGTTGTAAATGCACAAATATGGTAAGAATTGACCAAGCCTAACCGATATTTAACTGTTTTTTGAACAGCTTTACAGCTTTGCGAAGAAGCAAGTTTTGAAAATTATCTAAGATATATAAATTCTTGGTTAGTTTCAAATTCAGAATACACCTAAAGCACTGCTTTCTACTCGTTTGTCCATCTGTCCCTATGCCAAACTATGTGGTATGCATTCCCCCGTTCGCAAGAAAGAAGATATCGCTGACAAATTTCCAAAAGAATTTCACAATGATCTAAATCGGTCAAACGACCCACCTACAACGCCCACACGTCTATGCAATAAAAACTGTAAACAACTTTGCTTTCCATTTCTTTTGCTTGTTGCTTATAAAGTACAACGCATGCGTCATATGAATTTCCAGATTTTATTCGGAAAATAGAAAAAGTTCAGACGCGCCCATCCAACTTTATAGAGGGTGAAAGTGTAGTTTTTTTTCCCGTTTTGAATTCTTTCTAGGATAACCATGATGGGTATAAAAGATTCGGTTACGACCGAATATAATTTTCTTACTTGTTATCGGATACATTTTCTCGATACTCACTTGTCGACAACGAGTTTAGTAAAAACTAAATCTCTTTTATAGTAAACGGGATTGTTATGCTCGTGATTCACCGCTTTATCCATCAATGGATGCGAGCGTATAAAATTTAGCACAGTATCGGGTAAATTTGAAGTATCATTGACACAAGTACCAGGACGTGGATCAGGCACACGTGAATTCAATACCGGCAGCCAAGCGGAATTCGATGATGATTGCTCTTTGAATTTACCTAAAATGTAAAACGAGAGTGAAGAGAATGATAAAAATTGTTAAATGAAAATTCCGTTAATAATTAAGTTTTCACTTAAGTTAATATTAATGAAATTTAGTTGTCAATATATTCATTCTGACGGCCTTAGTGTATTCATTCCTGTTTTTTTTTTTTTTGCTTTTTTTTTCTTTTATTCGCTTTTATCTTACCATTGAATGCTGCTTGCACTTCATTGATGTGAAAACTGCAAACCGCTGAACCAATTAAACCGTTTGTGCTGGTGGTAAATGTGGCATAGAAACGTGTCTTATCGTTGGGCAATTGATAAACCGATTGTATTTCATTAAAGTAAAATGGAAATTCACCGGATATACTGCAATTTAAGCGCGCCTTCAAGTAGGTAGCCCAATTGTGTGCCAATAGATTTTTACCACCCACATCCTTTTTGCAAACACGTGCGATACGCGAATAAACCGCTTTACCACAATTAATGTATTCAACAGCCGTCTCACGGAAAAAGAAATACACATGGTCGCCAATATCAAAGGAGCCCACGAAATTCGGTTCTAAAGTAAATTTGAGAAAATTAAAAATATATATATATAAAAAAAAAATAAATAAATAAATTTATTTAAAAACCAATGACCGTTTCTTGCTTATTAAACGTTTTTATGGATTTAAAAAAATTTCATTGAATAGTATGAGAACGAATTCGAACTTAGCCCGCAAAGGCATTTATCAGTTATCCTAACAGAGCTCATTACAGATCCGAATATAAATGCGTTACAGAATTGTACAATGCCAAGCACCAAAGACGCGCGAAGGTATAGCCGAGTCCGAATTCCAGTGTGGCGGACCACACTAGAATTACGATTTGCGCTTGGTCATAGCTGGATTGAGTGCCCGGTCAGTAAATCCGGGCTTTCAGTCTCGGTCTCTGTACATCCCCAATTCTTTTTGACTGTCGCTGTACTAACGGTACAAGGGGCAACCAGTGAGTTTATATTATCGTATAACGCAAGGCTGTGGTTGGATTTGTAAGCTTAATGTGTCTAAAGTAGAACACTTACGATATTTTCATAAGCAACTCAAGCATAAGATTTTAAAGGAACACCCTAATGTCCGTCTAGCCGTCCTTGTGTTCAAACCACGCTCTACAAGTATTAAAATATTTCGATGAAAATGGGCCGAATCGGATAACTTTTTCAACCAATTCTCTAATCCTTCTCTATCCGTGGCAGTTTGTTAAACTTTAGCAAACAGGGAAACATGCTCATATCAATTAGCAATGCGAGCAGCACTCAAATTCCCGCTCTTTGCTCTTGTTAGCATAACCTGAGAAGTAATCCGTGGCAGAGCGCGCACTTCACTCAAGTAATGTACTCGTTTTCCCTGCTTGGCAGGACTTTCCTGCACCACTGCCACTATCTGTATATACACAACACAACAGTATCTGATGCATATAATTAATGGAATATATTCATATGAACTATTGCTTTTACTTGCGGTTTTCATAATGCTATAGCAACAGAAAACAGAAACTTTGTCACAGCTCAAGTTTAAAAACAAATAAAAACACTATAGTGAGCCACGGTCCACCATTAAGCAGCACCCTACAGCACCCTAAGGAAGTGGTTAAAAAAGTGACCCCAACGGAACCGTTATTAATAGCGTTCGGCCTTGGTCCGAAACACGTTATTTTACCAAATTTCATCAAAATATTTTAAAACTCTCAGCCTGCATGTTAAATACAAGAAGGAAAGACGGACAGACAAGCTTAGATCGGTATAATAAAAGGTAAATGTATTTTATATACTTCTGAATGTTGCATTTGTCCGGACGAACTTAATATACCAGTGCATCACAAGTGGTCTTAATGAATAGTTTGTTGAATGGCTGTCTGGAACGAAACCATACTATTTCACTTTAGATTCTATTTATGTGAATCCTTTCATTATACCGAATTTTTAATTGCATTTCTCTAAATTCTCTAAACTTATGTAAAATTACGTGTTTTTTAATTTTTTTTTTGTTTTTTTCATATTCGAAATTTGATGATAATTAGTTTTTTGTGTTTGTATTAAAATTTCAAGAGATTTTAATTTGGTAATTTTCTTAGAATTTTTTACAGCATAAAATATTCGCTTCAACTAATGTGAAACTTAAGCGCATTTTTTTTTTTTTTTTTTTTAGTTTTTGCTTTTTATGTTCAGAAACAAAATATTATCATCCTTTTGCCATAGACTGATTGAATAAACGCTAAAAATTAATTAAACCGCAATCTTTACTCTATATATATGCAAATTGTATCTATTGCAGGCAACCACAGTAGAGCAATTGTTTTAAAATATATTGAAATACGGAATACAAAGAAGGCTATAAATTATAAATTTGAATAAAACGCAAAAATAATAATGAATTCCTGTTTCATGTGGAAGAGAGCATAAATGAAAGCAAAATACACTGTAAGTGATTGAATTCTTGTATAAAATAATAATAAGAGCGCTTCAGTGTTTTCGTTTGCTCTGTGGCCAATTTACCATTTGGGGCTGACTTATAGCTGTCGATATCGGGTAAGCTCGAACGTACTTGGAATATGTTGCTCGACCGCAGTCTTACGATCAAAAGTAAGAGAAACGCATACTTCATCGACTGCTGCAAACTCGTTACTCGTTACACGGGTTCGAAATAGTCGACGGCCATCGAGCTTACGCGATATCGACTACTATAAGTCGGCTCCTGTATAATCGATCTCATAACTGAACAAAGGACTATCCTGTGAATAAACTAAAACGCACGAGTATGCTTTAAACGGTGGAAGTCAAGGACCATTAGTGATCGCCTTTGAAGTTGATGATCCACATATGTCAGTTATACAAAAATAAGAAGAGAATAGCGGCGTCAAGCGCGGAGAACTCGATGAGGAGATTAGCTTCAGCTTCGGCTTCATAGGCTTCATTGAAAAGTGGTCTTTTTTTTAATGTGGTTAATCAGGTCAGGAGATGTTCCTTACTCGCTACGGCCACGGTTACGCTCAGAAACAAAGAAGGCGCTGGTCGTAACCTAGTGGGTGTATGTTCAGACGGCAAGTATTACGCCTTCACCAAGTGAGCACTCATTATAGGTACGGCCAAAGTGAAGTCTATCGCACTGGGATTTGAACTGACGAATCCCGATTTGGTCGTTGTGATTCTTATTTATTCGGTTACTCATGCGACTTGCGGGCCTTATTGCTCAACGTACCTATGAAACTAGACTTTTTGACGTGACAGATCATCTCAGGGATATCGTTCTAGGACGATAAAGGCTATCGTGTCGATACAAATTAATTATTCAGTATGCTATGCTTACTGGCAGGCTAACCGACCGTATTTACGTATGTAAAAGCAAGCCATCACGAAAAATTCTGATTGTTAACATATCACTAATATTAGTCTTTATGGAAGAAATTCGAAGAACTGAATGTTTTCATGGCATAATTTTTTTCAATAGGATAGGAAAAAGTAAATCACGGAAAAAACCGGGTTATTAAAATCTGAAACATTTAACAACAACAAACAACATCAAAAATTTTAATCCCTCTTAAGAGTTACTATAAACATTAAATAAAATCAAAATTATTTATAATATTAAGACAAGTAAGAAAATTATATTCCATCGAGACCGAATCTTTAATACCCATCACCGTTATCCTAAAGAGACAAAAAGAGTAAAAGAACTAAACTATTATGCTCTATAATGTGGCGAAGCTGGTTTTATTTTTATTTTCAAAAGTGTTTGCCGTATAGGAGTATGGACTTTGTAGGTATGTCCTTTAGGGCACTTACAAATTCTTTTGCAAATTTTTGGGCAATATTTCCATTGTTACGGACGGAAAAATGTTTACCACAAATGCTAGATAGTTGGGCAAATGGTCTGATGGCCACCTGAACAGGCGAACGTGTTTAGATGCATTCCAAATTTGAACTTGCCAAGAATTTGTATACTTTATGGGGCTTTTGAAGCGCCTTTCAAAGGTATTGAAAAATAAACTTAATATCCATTTATGGAATATGCGTTCAAATGTTTATCTGCTGGCATTTAGGAGTAATAAGCAAAAAATCTGCTTTTTATTCCTTTTGAAACGCGGAGGTGTTCTCAGCTTACGTAGTGGTGCCGTTCGCAAGAACTTCGGCCAAATTTGCAGACGGACAGGCTTAAATTATACATTGTGGGGTTTATGATGCTTCCTCATCCTTCGATGATGGATATAAAAATCTTCATTAGTAGTTACTTTGAAAGAATTTTTTTCATATAATTTGCCTAACTTTTCACACTGTTTCCTCTTATCCATGCCCGATGCTACACTACACTGTACAGTTTGCTGTCAATGCTCAAGAAAATAATGAATTTAATTATATCAAACAAGATTATGAGGAAGAGAGAGAGAAAAAAAAAACGTAAATAAAAGTATTAAGAGAGAAGATGAAAGACAAAAAATCTAATTTCATTACTACAGGGCATGAGAACAAAAACAAATTCAATTTAATCTCCGTTATAATAAGGGGTGAGAAAAAGAGCGACAAGTCATTGAATGCATACAAGTTTTGTTAAAGACGCAATTTCCACACTTCTTCTAACCATCGCAAAGAACAATATGAAATGAGTATATTAACTCCTTTCTAGAGGAATTAAAAATAACGAAACATGCTCCAAGTGTATAAGGTTTTACGTAATCATCGCAAGTTTCTGAATAGCTTTGTCTTTCAGTTGCATTCAACTTAACATAAAACAGCTTGTAGATCTTCATAGCTTTTTAGTTTTAGGTTATGGAAAGGGTCGCATTTATCAACAACACAATTAGGTTGTGGTGGTCAATACATTTGCGCTGACGTTCAAGGCAGAACATAATTAGAACGGTAAACTCAAATGTAACCAGAACGAAACATGGGACGGTTTTCACATCAACTGTGTGATGTATGAGGAGAAGAAGGGTAGAAGATTAATCCAGAAGCATTCGTCTTGAAATTGTCTATTCAGGAGCCGATTTAGGGTTTTTCTGCTAGGAGGCGTCCGACTAAACCGACTTTTTTTGATTTATTTTGATTGCTAGCTGATGGGTTACCATGACGGAACAAAGTTATATTCTAGGGAAGTAAATGTTGTCTGTAAAAAATAAGCGTCTTGGTGGCAATATTCTCAATATAAATAAACAAAACTGAATTATGACGATGGAAAATAAGAAAAAGGATGTGTGTCTTGACATTCATTTCGTGAGACTTTTCTTGTACGTCTAAAAAGACATAGCGTCAGCCTTGAGAAACTTGGTATTAGCTCTTCGTGCAAGGGACTTTAAACTGCTCCTACAAAACATTCGATAGACCAGACAACCGATAGCCTCCATTAGAGATGAATTCCGAAGATCAAATTTCAAAATTATCATGTTTCTGGCGGAAAATATTCTTAAAGTTTCATTATACTTCTTGCCATGGAACTACGCGACGTGGCCAATACTTGGCATGTTTAATTATCACTGCTAAAGCGTAGAGTAACAATGGTCCACTGTGCACAGAATAGAAAAACAATCTCTTTTCCTTTCATTTTCTTCTTTATCTATATACTTTCTATTTGGAGAAATTTTGAAGATTCACTCAAGGCGATGGCTGTGTATAGAAAGGAACTGGAAGTGTTTTCTTTCTGATTCTCAACAACATGTTTTTGGTCTCAAAATTAGTCTATCTCTTCTTCCCTGCGTTGCAGCTATAAATTACGCTCCTAATATTTGAAATTGCCATCGTTGCTTACGGAAGTTCTAGACATTATGAGAAGACAGAGTTGAAGCAACCCTTTTGTCTCCTTCGCTATCAATTATCCCTGCGGAAGATGCATGTGATCTATGGGGTAATCATGTGTGAAAAATTGATTGCAAGAGAATTGCTTTAATAGGAGAGTTTAGCGGTACGCCCATCAGTTCCAGGTTTAGATATTCTTATACTATTTGGATTTCTAACGCCACTATATTCTCTGATCTCTTCCCGGATTTAGCAGGTAGATGTAATTTTGTTACACGTCCCAGCGACGATGTAGATGACCAGATATAGGTTAAGGGGGATGAGATCCAGAGAGAGAAAGAAAGAAGGAGAGGAAAGAGAATGGGAAAGGGAAGAAAAACAAATAGATCCACAGACAAATAGACAGAGAGAGATAAGGAGGCAGAAAGAGTTAAAGAAAGAAAGAGAAACACGAAAATGGGAAAGAAAGAAACGATAGACAGACACAGAAGTATAGAGAGAGGAGAAGGGGATGGAAAGCATTACTTAAAATTATTCGACTCCAATAGAAATAAACATAAACAAGGGTACCGATCGGATTGGTTAAAATCTTCACAGTCGTATAATGTGATTTAGATAACATCACAAATATCCTAATCTTGCCAGCGGTGCATAAGTTAGTCATTCGCTAATGAAAGTAATATGAGAAGTCCATTGGGATCATTGTTAGTTGCTTCGTTTTAAGCTCGGAATTCTTTAGTTGCATTGTTTTCGGTAGAACACGATTTTGGAGAAATGAGCATAAAAGTGTTCCTACTAATAGTTGGGAAATTTATATCAAAAATGGAGGAAAATTTATATTTCCACATACATTAGTACGGGAGAACAAATTTAATAAATATGAAGTAATGAATATAGCACTTGTAAAATTTCTTCTTTTTTTGTTGTTGTTGTTGTTGTTTTATTTTGCGTTTTTTCTCTTTTTTGTACTTACTGTCCAACCACTTGGAATCGTATTTAAGGGTGCGCTTGAATTTGTATTCCAAACGTTTCGCTGTAACATTATATAGGTCCGTACGAAAGATGACAGTATCCGCTTTAGTGAATTCAGCATTTGTGCCCGAATACTAAGAGAAAGATAGAAGAAGAAGAAAAGGAAGAAGGGTTTATTTATACCACAAAAGCAACAAATATGACATTTACATAAATAAATAGAGAATAAATAAAAAATAAATAAATAGAGTAGAGATTGCTTTTCAATATGAAATATTTTTGCCACAAAAAAATATGAAGAAGAAATATATTTTGAAAGCGGGGATGAACGAGTGAATGAATGGATGGATGGATGGATGGATGGATGAATGGATGGCACTTTTAGCTTAAGTAGCTTTTGAGCGTCTTCTCTCAAACAACAATTTCACAAACTGCAAACGAAATGGTAGAGAGAACAACAGCACTACGTTTTAATACTCGACGAAATGGAAAATAAATAGAAAAAATCTTAAAAGCACTCCTCTCATACATATAGAAGAGTATGTAAGAAAGTATATTTGGATTTTATTTTCATTTTTATTTTCATTTATTTATTTTTTTTTTATCTCATATAAGAAAATCATAAATATTACTTAAGATGCAGTTGTTCTTCCTCTGCATTATGTTTAAGTATAAGAAAAAGAGATCAAGAGTATTAAACCTCTAATAAATATTTACTCTACAGTTGATTTAGAAGCGGATGGCTAGCTAAAGAAATAAGGAATGATTTTAAAAAGTGATTTCATTCTGTTTTTTATTCTATTTTTCATTTTTTATTTTCTGTATTTTTTTTTTTTTTTTTGTTTTTTTTTTCTTTTTTGTCTTCATTCACTTACCAGACCTGGCAAGCCGCCTGGATTGCCTTCTTCCACATAAATAGCGGTTGAATTGTCTAAAGGATCATAGGGACATTTAGCTATACCCTGTCCAATCCCCATCACAAATTCCGACCTCGGCAAATGGGTGAGATTCGTCTGCAAGTAATTACAAAATGAAAAGAAGAGAGAGAGATAGAGAGAGATAGAGATAGAGAGAGAGAGAGAGAGAGAGAGAGAGAGAAAGAAAAACACAGTAAAAAGCAAATAAAGGAATATTTCAACCAAGCAACAAAAATTGCTAACATTTGCTAAAATGTAAAGAAAAGAAAAAAAAAATAAAAACAAACGAGACCAACGAGTATATGAGGAAAAAAACCCAGTGAAAATAAGAACAACAGAACATGTACCACCAACAGGGACTTTTCTACGTATGGCTACGGGTTGTAGCAACAAATTTGCTTTACTCTCAACAATAATAATAAAAACAACAACAACAACAACAATAATAATGCATACATCCATCCATATAGCAGCATACTTGCTATACTTGCATACATACATCTCTTGGAAAGCGATTAGTAAATGGTGTGCAAAAAATTGCTGCCGTTGCACTCAAGCAGTTTTATATGTTTGTTCTTTCGCTTGCTTTTATGCTCACGTTGTTGCTATTATTATTGTTGCTGCTGTTGCTGCTGTTGTTGCTCTTGTTTATTTTATACACTTTTAGTAAACGTTGGCACGTTTTTCAAATAATCCCCAAGTTTCGAGTTCGGCTTCTTGCAATTTCCGATTACTCAAGGAAGTGCGTGCCGTGTTAAATGATGTAAAATGGTTTTGTTTAGACTTTTTCAAATCTTTCTTTTTTTTTGCTTTATTTTCCTCCTTACTCTTGCTCAATTCGTTCTTTTTCTATTCCCTTCTTTTCTTATCAAATAGCACTTAAATGAATAATAATAATAAATATGTATTGTCGAGCAATCAGAAGAAGCTGCGAAAATTGCTGGACAGTTAAAGAACAAAAAAATAAATGAATAAAAAAATAAAATAATTTAAACACATTGTTACCGTTCCCTTCATTTGAATAACACAGACACAGAGGCAAAAAAGATAGCTTTTTTAATGCCAAATAATAAGGAATGAAGAAGGATGACATTGCAAATAACATAAGACTTTTTGAGCCTTAGAAAGGTAATGTTTACCTAACTATGAAAGATTGAAGGTAAGCAGGCATGGTATGCGGAACAATTGAAAGCAGAGGGCTTTGCATCAGTTACAACTGAACAAAAAAGCAATGTCCCAAAACGACATTAGAGGAATGCCTAATGTGCTACTTGTGATAAAGAAAATCGGCTATCGACGAGTCTATGGTCAACCTTCAGTTTGGAACATACCTCGATGAATGTGTGTACATCATAGATCGAAATATTCGATCAAAGTTCGACAAATTGATGGCTGCGCACACAGTCTTCATCTTCGCTTATTACAGTTCGCGACAGCCCAACCATGCTGGTTATCGTTTACGTTTGCCTACAACGTTGGGGGATAATGATTTTCTAACCTGCAGGCTACCCGAGAATGGGGAGTAGGTGGTTTGCAATGTCCACAAGGAAGCTTCAGGGATCATATGTTTACATTTTTCACCAGCAACACAACCTTGTCAATTTCAAAAACTTGGACGTCTATCCGTCTGCGTTAAAAATTGTCTTACCCGCAAAAGTGAGGTTATTAGACTCTAGTGTGGCAAAAATAATGAGAATCAGGTTTGTTCTGGATATAGTACGAACCGAGTACAACTCTAATATCGACAGGTTATTCTTTTTATTATTCGAATACCCTAACAGTTGCAACGAGAGACATTTCCTCATCGCTAGCTACATAGAAATTTCCACATTTAACTACTAACTGTAATTTTTATAAGAAAAATGTTTATAAATTTCACTGAGCAATTTTGAGATTGAGAATAGAACATAGATTACGCCGATTAATACGGATGACATGCGAACGGAATAAGTGCTCGGAGAAGAAAGAAATTAAGAAGAGCAGCTTTAAGAAGCATTTTCTAAGGCTTCCCATGCAGCTTCATATTGTTGCTTCATATTAGAATTGAAGGTTGCCAACTTTGCTCCGAGATGCCACATCTGAGTATACAAAGTAGCAAAAGTAGCCTAGTGATGGGTAAGAACCCGGACTACCAAGTCAGCGTTTGCGGGTTTAGGAATAGAGTTTACTTTGGTCGTAACTTTAGCGAATGCCCAGTCAGTAAAGGCACAACACCTGCACACACCCACTAGAGGTTGTCGAAACCAACCCCATATTTGGTTCTCTTTCCTCACTTCTTCTGAGCGATCAGTCGGAAAATATACACATATGTATATACACTTTGCGGTATTTGCAAAGGAGGTTTTAAGGCGTACACAGAAGAATAGAGTAAGCTTGAGTTACTCAAATTCTTTGATGGTTGGTATAGTGATCGAACACAATATCTCTTAGAAAACTTTTTGTGCCGCACAAAAATGTATTTTTTTTTTTTGCTTGTTTTTCATAGTAAATGATTGAAGCAACTAATAAGTCTTACTATAAACCATTTAAAGTGAAACCATTATTATTAATAGCATTTTCGACCATCATTAAGTTTAATGAGCATTGATTTGAACTTGATAGGAAACGTTTAACTACTATCAAAAGTTAAACGATATGAATAACACGCGCAATTGTTCACGCTAGCGTTACCACAACAAATAGTTTTTGGTCATTGACTATGAAATTAAACGACTTAGCAGCAAAATGCATTGAAAGTGATTATATGGTATTAAGGCAACGTTCGTTGAGTACAACAACGCTTAACTATTTAAGTTTACAGCATACTGTTAATGAGTTTTCCTTACTTATGAATAAATGATTCAAATGAAAAGGACAATCTTTTTTACGGATCATAATTATTATTATTTTTTTTCTCATCAAAATTCAACTCCATTCCTTTAATAATGAAAAAAAAACCAGGAAAAAAACATTATAGTGGCACACAAGTCACCCTAAAAGACCCTAATACCTTTATTCATATAACGACTTTGGAAAATAAGGGAAGCGGTGGAAAACGTGGTTCAATTCGAACCACTTTCAACGACGTTCGTCCTTGGATCAAAAAAACGTTCACTAAGTGCACCAAATGTCAGGTGTAGGCTGAAAGCAAGAAAAAAATAAAGACCGGATGACAGACGGATAGACAAGGTTAGAATCACTTTCTGAACGGGTAGATATAACAAAAGGTGGGCCTATCTCAGGTGGGCCACCTACATAAACTTAACATACCCTTGTCTAACACAAGTTTTGCAAGGCATGGTAATCTTTAGTAAGAATCGCTACTTTGTAAACTCAACTCACTTTTCTTAAATTGAAGCAAAAACAACTAAAAACCCTATACCGGGACATGGGCTAAAATACCATACATCACTTAGCTTAATATAGTTATTTCTAAAAGGATTTTTCAAAATAAAGTTTTTTACGAGGAACGGTCGAAATAGCGGTCCGATCCGAACCATTCCATTCTTGAGTTAAAAACGGTGCACAAAATTTCATCTAAATACATCAAAAGTTATGATCTGTAGGTTGAGCACAAGGAAACAATAGAGGCAAAAAGAGAGACGGACAGACAATGTGTCAAGACAGAACGGACAATAAAACGTGGATTTATCTACCTTCGAGTTGCATACACACATACACACAAATTTAATATGACCTTTTACCGCACTCGTTGTGGGATATAATGTAATGTCCTGCTCACAAACACTCGACAATTCGGCAAAGTGTCTAGTGGAAGATGTTTTCTATACGTTAGCTGTTATTAATGTGGTATTGTATTTAGCATGCATCGTCGTCACTATATTCATAATGCGATTTACAGTTGTTTTCCGTTTTTTTTTCTTTCTTCTATCGACATATTCTCTTCGGAAGAGTAGTAAAAAGTTCCATTTTCACATAATTTTGTGAACATTTGAATATAAATATTGTTATTTGATAACACACATTACTCTATATTCACACAATCGCAAATTATCATGCATATTTAATACCTATATGGAGGAGAAGGAAGAGAGTGTACCGAATCCAGAGATATGTCCCAAAAAAAAAAATAAATATATATATATATATATATATATTTTCATACATATTTTTGTAAAATCCTTGTTACTGCTGTTGTTAGTCTACATAAATGTGTGTCAATTGAATGAAAATGTGTTGCCATACTTAACACGCTTTTACTGATTGCTATCTCCAATCAACTCGACTATAAAAATTGTGAGAAAAAATGCAGAAAAAAAAAAAAGAAAGCAAAAATAATAATACGGACAAGAACAAGAAGATGTCAATAGCAAAAGCAGGAATAGCAAAATATTTTCCCCTTGTTAACCAGGACTAAACCTAAAAAGAAGAAGGATTTTTTTTTTTTTTTTTTTTTTGGAAAAAGTCAAGGATTTCAAAACTAAAGTAAAAGCTTAACTTTGTACAGCTGCAATATGTCTTTTAAGAAAGCCACACAATGGTTACATATATAAAACAGAACATAGGACAGAGTATTTTCCTGGAAAAATGAAAGAAAACGAAAAACTCTCAATGAGAAGAAAAACTATTTTCTAAAAACGACAGAAATGGAAAAAGAAATCATTTTCGATATAAATACAAGACAGAACGAGCTGCAAGAAAAGAAGGAGCAAGCATGCACTTCTTATTTATATTTTAACCCCATGTGTGTAGCACTATGCTTGCACTGCGAGTAAAAAAAGGTTGACTTGTGTGTGTGTGTGTGTGTGTGTGTGTGTTTTCTTTTTTTTTATTTCATTTAAACAGTTCACATTATGTTCCATAATTGATACTTACATAAATGACATAATCTTTGGGATTGTGAGCATTGGTACCGCACACGTACAGGCGATTGCCTTGCATTTTTTGTATAACTCGTATGTGATTTTTGCAGTCAAATACCTGAGAAATAAAAAAAACATCGCATTTATATAAATATTAAGAAAGAGAAAGGAAAAATAAGATATTTATTAAATCGTTTTAAACTCTATTGGACTTTTATTTAAAAGTAAAATTCGTACTGTTTTATTAGATGGTTCGATAAAAGCAAAAAAAAGTAACAAACAGAAGTTAATATTTAACCCGTAAATCCTTTAGATTTTTCAAAAATCTAATATTTATCGAATGCGTTTATCGGAAAATGCATTCACTTCCATATAAGAAAGAATAGTGAAGTTTCCTTACAACAGATACTTTCTCGAGAGTGAAACCGATATGTTAAAGGATTGATATAAGGTATCCATCAGAATATTCAATCTTAATATTTAATATAAAATAAATATTATTATTATTAATTTAGTCAGGGAATGAATGCTGAGACTTAAGTCTTAAAGCTCTGGCATTTAAAGGCTTTCGGCATTATTAAAAACTCTACCGAGTTTCTGGACTCTTGCCTACTCGACCACTCGGACGGATAAAATAAATAATTTTAAGAATTTTTACTACAAATTTTTTTATAGGAACAATTCTCATTTACAATGAATGCTTATAGAAAATACTTTTATAAGAAAGACGACATTTTTTCTTTAAATTTTAGTGAAAATATTTGATTACTTAACTTCCCTTTTCTCCGGAAAATTTAACGCATCTGAAGGACTGGAAGGACAAAACATACAAAGGCTATTAGCCATAAAAAAATGGTGGCAATAAATTGTAATAACAGTTTGCGCCTAAATACAGGCATTTGTAAGGCTTTACGGGCTTAATTTTCTTATAGTGAAGAGAAATGCGACAGTTTTCTTTAAAATTGGATCCAGTTTGGCAACGATTTTACAGAATACAAATTTTTAAGAGGAAAGGCTTAAAGCGCCACCTCTTTAAGACTATGCGCTTGATTGGGAATTTTACCGCACTTGAGATTTGAACCCACGACCGTTGCATTTAGTCGAAATGCTTAGGCTACTCAAGTGCGAGATAGTTTCCAATAAAGCCTTAGTTGATAGCGCTTTAAGACTTTGCTCTTTGAATTCGTTTCGCTGCCTAAATTATTTATAATCATAATAATAATAAAAATATTTAAAAGTACACTTTTTGTTATCAATTTTTTAAATTATGATTCAAGTACACAGAGATTTTAATTTGTGCCACGTGGCGTTGTGGCTTAACCATAGCTGCTCGTATAGGCCGTTTTTGGTAATTCTCCCAAAAGCATCCACGCAGACATCCTGTAAACAAGAGACAATCCGCTTTTTCTTAACGTGAACAATATATGCTCGCTACATGAGTTACACTTTGACGGTCAGAAAGAAATGCGTGCATTTTCAATAGGTAAGAGCTATGCCTTCACCAACTGAGCATTCGCTTTAGCTGGCGGCCAAGTATGATCAAAGCGCACTGATACTTGTCTCTGCGATCACTGACTTGGTACTTGTGGCTACTCGGCTACTAGTCGCTTACCAGCTTTAAACCTGTTGATAAAGAACTTTTGAAAACGACTTGTAAATGTAATCGAAAAAAATAATTGTAAACAAGCGAAACTGTGCCACCAAAACAAGAGATCTTTTCCTTTGGCTCTTGACACACGTAGTAAGCATTTAATTTTTGCATAACTTTGCATAGCAAGTTTATGAGGAGTATTTTCATTGCACTTTATTAGAAATAGTTGAATGTCGTTAGGCAGCGATGCAAATATGTCGAGTCATATAGCAAAGCAATGGAGATTTAATTGCATAAGGAGCCCTTAGTAGTGCACCTTCTTCACCAAATCAAAGTCACCTTTTGTGGTCATTTGGCATATTCTGAGGATGTCTTATTATATCATTCTTTTTTCTACTTTTCTACAATCTTCATGAAAGGTAAGCGAATTTTTTTACTTTCGTACAACTGTGACTGTGCGTTACTTTTGTCCAATTTTCAATTTATGGAATTTAAAAAATTTTTCTTCTTGCAGAAGATAAAAGCATTAGAACGTCATTGTAGACACCTGCTGCGAAAGGCACTTTCTCTCGGTCTTTCTTGAAATTGCTTTTAAAAAGTATATCCATAAAAATCGGCCACATTTATAGCGAAATGATTGAATCCTTAATATCTTGTGTTTTCGTTCGTTGCTCACATGCTTCACAGTATAACACACAAATATAAAATTGCAAGAACAACAAGAAAAAAATAAATAAATTTCTTCATATAAGAAACTACGCTAGTCTGCAATTTAAAAGGCACGCGCGCGCGTGTATGTGTATAGATGCGTGCTATATGCGAAATAAGAAAATTGAAA